ATGACTGCGGTTCACAATCAAGCAGGATTCACATCTGACTTTCCAAAAGTAGGGGGGGTACCTTATTTTGGGGTCCTTATATTAAGGATCCTATTCTTTAGGGTACTATATTAGGGTCCCCTATTTTCGGAAACCCCCAAGTCTTCACACATCGCAGTACTAGCCGATGCTACGCCAGGCTCCTGTTTCATCCACATAGCCTCCCATGACCACCATACCAGCATAGGGACTCGAGCCCGAGTTGCTGGAGTTGTGGGCGTTGTAGGCCTTCAAAGCCACCAAGGTGCAGGGTGCGGAGGGAGTTGCGGAGAGGAGGGCCCTCGAGCCTGGAAAAGCTTGTTTGCACAGGTGGCGCCAAGGCTGTGCCCAGCCAGCCACAAATTCTCGGAGTCGTTTGTCCGATTCCAGCCCTGCTTCGCAGCGGCGGAGAGCGCCGCCTGCAAGTCACAGCGTTTCGAGTCTGACGGCGGTGCGCCTCGCCTGTCCAACTCTCCACCTCCACCGCCGAGTGCAGTGGGGAGCAGAGCCACGTCGCAGCACAGCTGATGATGCAGAGGTTTTGGAAGACGGTCGGCACCACCTGGCGCTGGTGTGTCACACCCAAATAACCTTTCCTTCGAGAAAGATCGACCCAAAAGTACCGAGGCTCCTGCCAGCCACAGGCTCAAACCTTTCTGTGCGGCCGCGTCCTTGCGAAGCTACGCGCGTAACCAGGAACACACAAGCCGCGTCCTGCCTGAATTGCTTGGGCGGTCTGCTGGTAATGGTGATTTGGTACATTCCCCCCTGGAATAATCACCTCACAGGCTCAAGAAGAGCGGATCTCCAGGCCTCCGGCGTTATGACTGAGGAAGTACCACCGGAGTCTTAGCTGTCGCGACGAGGTTCCATCATCTTCCGTGATTTGCCAGCCTGCCCCAGGCACACGCAAAACGCCAAAGGGGGACAAAGCCTCAGAGAGTCCTGCCTCGGCTTCCCCTGGCTTCAGGACGATGGGTTCATCTGCTTGCGCAAGGACGCCCAGCACCGCCAGCAGCAGACATCGCAGCGGCCCGAAAGGCTGCATGGCACGCCACAGCACAAGAGCAATGGGAGCGATGTAGCGCAAGGCGCAAAACCACGCCAACGCAGACAGTCTATTTGGATCAGGAGGGGGATCGTATGAGAGATGGGCTGCTGCGATATTCGGTGGCTTCCGACATGACGCATTAGGACACCCTGGTTTGCGGGCCGAACAGCTCTGACAATCGCAACTGGAGCATGCAGCCTTGGCCCGGGACTACGCAAGCCAAGGTGCTCATGACCGCTGAGGCAGACACGGAGCCGAGGTTGAGGGGGCAGAAGGCACCTTGGAATCCGTGGCTCGACTGCCGTAAGCGGTCAGAAGGACCGATGCCTTCCCTGCAAACCGCACCTCAGGAAGGCAAATGTCGAAGGTTTGGAGGAATCTGCGCGATGCCTGTCACTGTCTTTGTGCACCGGTGGATCAACCACCAGCCTCACCAGCCTCACCTAACCAAATCGACAACAACAAAATTGCAGAGCGGGACAGGCGCCTGCGGAGGCGTCATAGACAGCCACAAGGATGCACCGTGCAGGGAACCATCAGGATCCAACCAAACCTACACAGGCCGCGGTGAAACAGGAAGCACTCGACTGCAGAAATGCTTAGTGGCAAGAAAGCTCTGCAAGCGTCATCACCGCTTTCCACAAGCGTGTCGCCTCCTCGCCCAGAAGGGCACGTATGGCGTGGTCTGCCAGCACGGGCAAAACAGGTCCTACACATGGCCGGACCAAATTTGACGACACTCGGCCTGTCAAGGGACAACGACTGTGGCTTGCACATCCATTGATGGAAGGTGCACGAATGCAAATGAGGGACAGAAAACAACACCTCTGACACCAGGAAACTTCCCAAGACTCAAGATGACTCAAGCAGGGACACAAGAGGTGCTTGCTAGTCTTTGCATGTCTTCGCCAAGAAAGAAAGATGGTCTCGTTGGTCCACCAAGTGCTCCAAACATGTTTGCTTAGAGGCAGCAGGATGCGGAGCAAGCAGCAAATTCTCTCGTGCAGCTGTACGCAGATCCGCACATTGTAGTCACACGAAGCTATTGCCATGATGTCTCGATGAACGATCTCCTGTGCTTGGTTTCGAGATCGTCCATCTACTGCTTGCACCGAATGTCATGGGCTTCGGTACATATGGGCCTCGGTACATCGTGTGCTGCGAGAGCTGGTTTCGCACTGCTAGTGGCAACTGCTTCTGGCCGGACAGTGGTTGCCCCGTCCTTGCACCTGCGGTTCTGAAAGCCGTCACACGAGGCTCCCCTTTGCAGCAGCTAGCCACCGTAACATCATGTTCTCCAGGACATACTTCATTCACGAACGGAGTGAATGTGAATCTTCAATTCGTCAACAGTAACAGCTGGGAAAAAGTACGAAAGGGCGGCAACATGCTCCCAAACCAATGCGAACTGTGAAAGCTACGTTCTTTCTTTGCTTGGGCCGGCGACATGTTGGAAGGCGAGAAGCCGCCAGCAAATTGCAGCAGCACTTCAGTAGCTGCGACTGCTTTTGTGTGGTCGGAGCCATCCCTTTTCAAACAGCCTTCGACACGAAGTTTGCTGCTGAGCAAAGCGGTCCGGAAAGACTTTGCCGAGAAACCCGAAGCAACTTGCCTGCACAACCAACCAGGAGCTGCTTCAGAACCAAGCGTAAGAAGATTTGTCAACCAATAGCTTGGACAGTTTTTCGCCATGTGGGACAAAGGGAAACTCACATACCCATGAACCAAATTTGATTCTACAAGGCTTGCAAAAAACTGATCGTCATCAGGCAAAACTTCGCGCACACGGTGGGTGGCTCCTGACGGATCTTCTGCCGGCGCTTCCTTGAGATTGTGCGACAAGCTTCCACGTACAGCAGCTGCCACAGTGCCCCTAAATTATTTAGCTGCAGTGCACCTCTGGAAGATGCGAAGCCGGTGATCTCCAAGGCCGCTCAGAAGCAAGCACACAAGCCTCTGAGCACTACTTTCGACGCCTGTCTTCAGCCTGCGCCGCAGCATCCCGAGTGGATGTATCCTCTGCAGCTCAAAAATCCGAGAGGGAAGGAGGAGAGCGCTCCGCCATGTCCTTGGGAGCTTCTTTGGAGCTACGCCAAGCATGGCTCCAGGACAGGAAGCAATCGACGAGCATCAGCCGATCGTCCTGCACGGAGAGCTCTGGGGCGGCTTAGTTGCGGCTGTTTAAAGCTGGTCTGGCCGCACAATGTCTCAGAGACCGGCCTTTACTCCCAGCGCCAGGCAGGACGCGGAGAGAAGCCGCTTCTTTGCCTCGAGCACGACCGATGCTCTGCGTGCGCTCGGAGACCCTCCTCCGCCCTCCTCCTGCCTCGTCGGCCCGCTTTGCGGCAAGCTGGTCTGCGACCTCCGAGTACACAGATACTCAGAGCCCTGAGCTGTTTCCCGCTTGGGGCTGGTCGCGCATCTCTAAGCCGGGGACGGTATCCTGCTTCTCGGCAGTGCTGCCTGTTTAGACTCTCAGTGCCACATGCCAGGCCCAGCAACTTTGAAGGAAGCTCCGCCTGGAGTGCTGGTCGTACTTATGGCCTTAACGGCCTGACAAAAAAAAGCGTAGGACAGGGAACAAAGGAGTTCGGCGACTTCTGCTGAACTTTTGCGTGCGCGCCTCACTCAGCGCCCGCAACTGCTCCAGGATCTCCCGGTCCACCTCGCGTAGTCCTGGAGCGCGGCCAGGGCACCGAGACTCGCTGATTTCGGCGTCCGCAAGGCCTTCGCCTTGCGTTTCCTGGAGCCTCGCCTGCGTCAGAGCAACTCACTGCTTGAGTAATCGGACCCAACCATAGCATGCGAAGTGCTTGAGGCGTCTTTGACTCTCATGGTGCGTCGCGCCCAAGACGAAGGGCCCTCTGCGAGAGTCTTCGACTGTCACCGGGCATGGGCGGCTTCTTCACACCGAGAGGCTAAGATTTGAGCTATGTACAACAGCCGAAGCTTGTCAGCTTAGCCACTCTTTGATCTCAGCTTTGGCACGACGGTGCTCCTCTCCGCTTCAAACTCAGGTACTCGCAAGGAAGTCCCCTGGCACACAAAGGCCCTTGGATGTCTCTGGGTCCTTGCACTTCTGGTTGTTAGCTTTGGCAGGCTTTTTCCTTCAATTGCGTCGCGTGACATGGGTGGGGCGAACGCACGAAGCGCTAGGGCATAGCAAGATGCACGTCTGAGTGTTGGGCTTCTGCTGCTTCTGCAAGTTAGCTCGTGCCTGTATTGCGAAGCACGCTGGTACCAAGAAGTTCCCATCGGTGTGCCGAGAAGGCATGCAACATCACAGTGATGGGGGTGATGGGGCCTCTTTGGCTGTCTGGCGCTTGCGCACCCGTCGTCCGCCTGTGTCGACACCTGCACATTGTGGCGAGCTGACGATGTCTGACAGCACTGAGATTCAATAAGTTTCACTGCCCAGTCATAGCTCTCGAGGCGTGCATATTTGTATCAGCAGGGTCTTCGAAGTGACCGACTTCACAAAGATCACTAATCTGCGCCAGGGAGGCTGACTTGTCCTGGCGCTGCCTCCTCCTTCGCCAGAAGCAGCTACACACGCCACATGCTATGCCGCAGGTTCGAGGATACAGCAGACCGGTCCTCACTGTCCTCGCTATCACTATCCTCGTCTTCCCCTTTCGCCCTGATGGGAAGTGCGGCATTGACTGTTGCCGAGCGCACCCTGAGAGACTATGCAGCCCAGCCACTCATCAAGAGCAGCCGGTGGATCTGCCTGCTGCGCGGCCTCGCCTGCAACGGAGATGTAACAGCCGGCTGAATCATCTGTGACCACGTCGAGGCTGAGGTTGCTGCTGGCCGCCAGCACCTGTCCAGATGAGCATTGTCTGCCGTGAAACTTACTCTTTTGTGAACAAACGAAACATCACTGCCTCAGCTTCTCCCGGAGCACAGGCAGCTTCCTATGCCCGTGCTCCCTGCACTGATGAACTAGGCTTTGATTTACAAGCCCTCGGGTGGACAAGCCTCGTCCATCTTGCAGTCCTGTCCCCACGGAACAAGTGCACAGCCAAGTGCGGCAACAAGGATTGCGCAAAGCCCATCCTCTTCCAAAGCCTGTCTGCTTCCGGCCGCAAGGAGATCTTGAAGCCCCTCGCCAGCCGCCTGGACGGCTGGCCGAGCAGGGGGCTGGAAGGCCATTGCCTGAGGCGTGGATGTTTGATGATTCTTTATCGTCCGGGGCGATCGGTAGAGGCAGGCCTCCTTGCGGTCGCCCGGGTGCTCCTCCACCTCCTCCTCTGCATCCTCCTCGTCCTCGTCGTCCTCAACGCCCTTCCAAAAACCAGCAGGGAGAGGACCGGGGCCAGGGCATGGCCATGGCAGGGCCGGAAGCACTTCGCCTCCGCTCCGTCTTCGCGATGAGCTCGGCCTTGCTCGTGCGCGGCAACCTCCGGCAGGGGAACTTTAGGGCACAACACATCCGACTGAGAAGGAGGGACAGTGAGAGAGCCCGGCAAGCAGAGCGTCTTCCTCCGCCTTGAAGCCCGTGACCTTGCTCCAGTTTTTGGCTTGGCGAATTGACGAGATCTGCAAGGAGGTGCGAGCCTTCAGGCCCCCAGACACTTCCTCTTCTCGGTCATCCTCTAAGGCCTCCACAGGGCCAACAGTACCAACGGCAGCCAACGATGGCATGGGTCTGAGGTACACTCCTATGTAACCTTGAGGACTTGAGATGAGTTGGTTCACGGCATGAGGGATCTCATGCTCGTCTGTCCATCCTTACTGCTACATCGCCCTCTCGCAGCCACCTCCTGAAATGTCGGCCACTCTTGCACCTGCCATCCAAGACAAATCCATGCAAACCCTCTCACCCTCTAAATCATGTTAGGCTGGGCCTCGATGTTGAGGCGCTTCCGGAAGAACTCCACGATCTCAGCACGCTGCTGTGCAAAAATCACTCGGGAACTTCGGAGGCACTTCTTCAAGCTGAGGCATCAGGCAGATCTGACATCTCTGTCAAAGAATTCCTGCAAGGGCGTGGTGGTTAGGGGCATCACGATAGCGAGCGTGTAGAACCCGGGTCCTCTGCATTCGGGTGGCTGTTGTATACAATCTGGGGAAAGTCAATTAAGGTGACTTTCTCGTCCTGGCCGAGCAACGAGGTGACGAGGTTTTCAAGGCAAACACCTCGATCACAGTCGAAATGCCTCATCCAGCATGAGGTTGAACTCATTGAAATCGCCGTGAACGATGCCAGCTCTCAGCAACCTGCTCAATCGAATCGCACTCCTGGAACCCTGGAGACCTCCATTGCTGTGCGAGAACTGGCACGAGGCACGAGCCTGACGACGAGCCTCATTAGGCGCTCCAACACCTCAGCTGAGCGAATCCAACCCGTCATGCGTGGCCTTGGCCCGTCCTTGGCCCGTGCCTGGTTTGGATGTTGAAGTTCCCGCAGCTGGAAAAGAGGCTTCGCATCGACCTGACGTCCGGCTGAGTGTCGCTCCGACTGTGTCGTCGAGTTGAGGGCATCACGAAAGACATCACCACAGCGTGGCGGTTTTGATCGATCGGAGTGGGAACAGGAAATCCCTCGTCCTGCAACGTCAACGATTGAAATCCCCCAGACAACTGGCATTCCGAGTCAAAACCAGCGCGAGCGAGTCCTTTAGAGCTTTCATGTACGCGAACTCCTTGGCCGCGGCAAGCTTCGCCATGTACATCCACGATGCATGGACTCGATGCCTCGGGCACGCAAAGACTTGAACAATCAAGTGGTCTTGTGTCTACCTGCAAAGGCCCCCTCGATGCACCATGCCCCGGCCTCAAGTAGTCTCGTTTCTCCTTGATGGCTCGGAAACTGATTCGACCTCTTAAGCAGATTTCGAGGCACAACCACCTACATGCCACGCCGTCACACGCTGTGGCCATGGCCAAGTCTGTGAAGCTTCAGGGCCACAAGCTCCCCGTCGGGCCCCTGCACCGGCACCAAGACCACGATGGGAGGAGGGCTTCCCAATCCACCCCCTGGCACGCCTGTGCATAGTGAACATCGGACTCCTTCCCGACCTGGGCCCATCGTAGCACTCTTTGTCTTCCGCTTCCTAATTCCCAGCTTGCACAGCGGTCTAGACAGAAAGAAACGGCCTGAATGGCCTTGGTTCCTGAGCTTCCGGCGCCCAGCCTTCGACCGACTGCAGTAAGGGTGCCACGAGCCGCCAGCGCCTCCCCAAGCAAAGCGCTTAGCAGCTATTCGCAGCTCCGGGTGGGGGCTCTCCGCTGCGGCCCACCCTCAAGGCCAGGAAGTCGTAGCCGTGGTAGGTCATTCTCCACCCATCATAGCTCTGCCCTGAAGGACTGCAGAGCTCCCTCCCAGCGTAAGCTGCCAGATCTCAGGCCAAAGCCGTCGTGAGCCACGAGCCTGAGCGGCAATTCACTCGTGAGTTGCGCATCGCAACAAGCGGAGAAAGAAACACCGGGCCAGGCACTTGTTGCGGAGGAGGTTTTGCAGAATCTTGTAGCAGCTGCTCCGATCTGGGTTGGCATCGCTCAGAAAGACTACACCGATACACAAAGCTTCTGCTTAGGAAGAGGCTGATCTTCGCAATGCTCTCAACCAATGGAGTTGGAACGTGCTCGTGGTTCCTTTAAAAGATGAGAAACCGCCAGCCATCGGAGAGCTTCTATGGCTGGCGTCGGCCTCATTCCCATCTCAACCGCCGTGAGCACTCTGAACTCCTCCTTGGTGATGTACCGGAACATCGTCACCTTGGTACAGCTGATCACAGAAGGTGGAGGTGAAGATCTCCTTGCAACGATCTGCAGAGCCAGAGCAATGACTCCAGGAACTTGCTGCTCCGAGGCGGTTGCATCGAGCTTCATGGCTCCAAGCTACGGAAGCTTTCCCGGGCTCGGCCGCTTGGCCCGAAAGCCCGGGTGGAAGATTCTCAACTGGTTTAGTCACACATGCTGGTATGAGACCGGATGCCCGGATGAGTAAGGGACGTTGCTCTTTGCATCTGCAGACGGTACAGTAGCTGTCGCCATGGGGCTCCGCAGTGGTGATGTGCCGCGCGGTGCTACGTTGTGCTACGCCGTGTGCATCGGCCCCCTCTGCAGCTCCACAGAACCATCCAGCCAAGAGCCGGCAGCGTGCGCGCAAAAGAGTTGGGAGCTGACTGACGCTGACCCAAAGACCCAAAGAGCAAAAGCATGAAAAGGAGATGGGAAGTTTCTGTGGCCTCGGACTGGCGAGGCGAAGGATCCACCCGCCTGCGGAGCCGCCAAAGCCCAGAGCTCCGTCGGTTTCGCCTTCGTCGCGGCTGAGCTCCGGGCGGCGTTGATGTCAGCCCAGTCCAATTCGAGTCCCTTGGGCTCAGCCTCGTCAGGGTTCAGCTGGAACAACTCTGCATCGCGGCATCGGCCAACTGCAGCTGGAGCCACGGTCTTGAAGTGGCCTCGACCATGAAAGCTCCCTCCGAAACGATCCGTTGGATGGATCAACCCGAGGCTCGGGCGTCCGGTAAGAGGGGCCGGGCCTGGGGCGGCTCCCCTGAAAGACACGGACAGCGTGTTGCAAAGCGAAGCCACGTCTGTACGTCTCCTCATGCCTTGAAGCACGGCACCAAGAATGGGATGATGTCGAAGCCATGGCGAAATCGGCGCCGCAGTCCGAGGCCTCGGGGCATCAGATCTCGCCAGATGCGGCTCGAAAAAGACTCTGACTCTGCCCGTACTGTAAGCTGGGAGGGGCACCCCGAAGGTGGGAACGATTCCTCACAGCATCTCACAGTGCAAAAGCTTAGGCACCCGCCACGCTCTAACATCTCCCCCGGCTCGTCTTGACACTGAAACTGGCCCCATCCCCTTTGTGCGCAAGCTCTTCGAACCGTCCTGCAAACCTCGGAGTGGCTCTTCTGCTTTCACCTGAAAGGTCCACTTCTGCCCTTCATGGAAGGGAAGGCTGCTGCAGAGACGCGGCCTGCGCAGGAGCCCGCTCACTTGGGGGATCTGCCGTGACCTGCAGCAATTTGTCTCATGCGCAAACTTGAGTCGCATGCCCTTGCATTGCGCAACGTCACCTGCAAGAGTCTTTGACCGGTGATCTGCAAGTTGTGCAGATCCACCGCCTCGAGATTGGCAAAGCAGGGAACGTCAATAGATTTGTTTCAGCGAGCCAGCGACCGTGGCTCGGAAGCTGCCCCGTGGCCACAGCGACAGGGCCTCACAGCGGCTTGGCAAAGCCAAGCGCGCAGGTGACGGGTCCCGCTGTGTGCAGTACGTCTTCTAGCCATGGCGGGCCTGCTCAAAGGCTCTGAGGCAGGCCCAGGGAAGAAGGGCCCTATCGCCCGATTCGTACGGGTACTGTAAATTTATCGGGCCTCCTAGTCTCTTGTGCACGTGGATGGGGTCTCCGTCCAGCGAGCTGTCCGTGAAGGCCTCACCTGTCTCGAGACAGGCGCCAGAAAACTGGCGGAACGGCGCGCCCCTGGAGTGGCCCCCACCTGGTGAGGTGCCGGTAAATGGCAAGTCGCTGCCTGTCAGCAGCCCGGCCCATCTAAGCGCTTTCGCTCCTATGCCTACGTGCTTCTTCTTGAGACCCGTACCGCTTCCACTTAATGAGTCATATACTTCGGAATCGACTGCCCCATCGGAACGCCATGGCATCCCTTCTCTTCTTTCCCAGGAGTTTATGCAGGCTCCTTGTCAAGCAACCTGGGCTGAAGCTTGTCACCTGATCAGGCCTCATCGGACATCCTCTTGTCACCTGCCCGGCTCATTGAGCCGAAGCTGCGGACTCCAAGATTCCGATGCGCGAGGTTCTACTGAGCTGCGTCACATCTGGCATTGAAAACCGCTGCCAGCACCAACTCTCATGGGAGACGCCAGCATGTTGGTTCTTTATGGTAGGGAACAGGTTCTGCTGTCGATATGTCTGGGCAATGTCACGCTCGTCTGCGCGTGACAGTCCACTGTCACCAGGCTGCACATGCTTCGTGGCTTTGTGGTACCCTTCGCAGTGTCTTTTGCAAGCTGTGCGGGGGAGGATCGCTTCGTTGAAGCGGCTTCCCAAGGCTTAGTCCAACTTCTCGAGGTTCGAAGGCGACCAGCAGCCCAAAGACTTCATGCCCATGTTTCCTGCAAAGTCGTGTGGACAGATGAAAATCCACGTGGCGACGCATGTTGCTCATCAGACATCAGACGTGCTCGTCTCTCCGTGGCCTTTCCGGAGACAAACGCGGCCCTGCCAGGATAAGCCAAGCAGGGCACCATGGCTGCAGGGTGCAAACGCGCCAGCTAAGTGCGCCTGCGTCCCCGATGTCCCCTCAGAACAGACGACCTGCGAACTGACATCCATCAGGCAGAATCTGCGCGAAGCACAAATCTACAAAAATAATAAATCCACTAAAACTAAAATCCCCGTAGTTGCGCCTGCGCGATTGTCCCACTGATTTTGGCATGCTTGGACTGCGGGAAGAGGCCTGCACTGCATATCTCTGCAAATTCTGGATGTGAGCGGCAAGTACGGCCAGTTCTCGGGCAAGACCGGCCTACGCCCCAGAGATCCTCCGGTAAATCGCCAGGCATTGAGATTCGAGAACAGCAGAAGTGCAGGCCAAGACATGTTTCATGACTCAATGCATGTCTTGTGGCTCGAAAACCCCATGCATCCTTCAAATCACGGACCCTTCTCCGTGACCCTGCTTACCGTTCCCACCATGCATCTGAAAAGTGATGGACCGATATGAGCTCTGCCGGGCCACGATAAGATGGCCGGCTGAGACCTTCTTCTCGATGCGCACGATGTCGCCGAAAGCAAAGCCCTCCGGTGGATCCACCTTGCCTCAAGGCAGCAAGGACGGAGCACAAAAAGACACCGCCCAGCATTTCCCCTTCGCTCTTCTTGCTGGCAGGCTGCATCTGGGGGTCTCCCTGCAGTGTACAGAACAAATGGACAAGTCAGGACGGGAACTGATCGGGACCGATGCGATCTGGGGAGCCCACAGCACCTCGGAAGAGTAGGACGTCGGCGACGGTCGTGTCTGTACCGGCCCGTCTTCCAGCGGCTCTGGAACTTTACTGATCGGCAGAGGCGCGTCCATCAAGTCGCCTTGGATCATGATCTGCTGCCGTTGATGCCAGTGCCGGCGGCCAGAATCGGGCAGGCATGATGCTGGAGACAAGTCAAGACACCCACGAAGCTCTTGTTCCTGGGACAGGGGGCGCACAACGCGATCATCAGAGCGTCCGAGCAGCGCGGCGGGGCGGTTTTGGGCCGGGTCCCTCGGGTCCTCATCAGCTCCGACTCGGAGAGGCACCGGCACCCGCTTCCCTGCACCTGCCACCACAGTAGAAACAGTACCAAAGTCCGGCCCCGACTGACAGGTGCAGAAAAAGACCCACTCTGCCTCGGGGTCGTTGGGGCTGAACTTGCGCAGGGCGGCCCTGGCTCTTAGCAGCTTCGCCCCACCCCGATTAATTTTAATAGTTATAATCACAACAAGCATCATATGAAATATATATTTTTAAAGGTCTTCCGAGAGCAGCAGAGTAAGGAGCCTCTTTCCACATTCGAAGGACAAGTGCTGCTCCTGCAACTCACGGTTGCGTCTTTGCATCTCTGCTCTTCAGCTCCGCCCCCCAAGAACTGCAGGCGCCTTTTTGCACTTGCAGGCCTGCCAGCGACGAAGGTAGGAAGCACCAAATGGGTGGCAATCCTCTGCGATCACCTGCGGGCGGCTGCAATCGCAAATGCCTCCATGGAATTCAGAGCGACTTGGACGAATTGACGAATTCGAAATCCGAGTCTCTGTTGGGGGCGCGGATCTCCCTCTTCCTGCTGCCAACTCCCTTGCTTTTGACACGCCAGGCCTGTCAGACACTCAGAGAACCCCAAGCCCAAAAAAAAAGCGAAGCTGGAAGCGAGGGCAGAGGGGAGCCGGGCTGCGCTGAATGCCAACATGCCGACTGTGACGATGTTGCACTTTCCCCCTGCCTGGCACCTCGGTCGCTCATGTCCATGACCTTGGCAAATGGAGGGGCCCACAAAATCATGCAGAGGAATGTTGCAGCTCCGAGGTCTCTCCTACCATTCTGGGTTTTACTCCCCCAATCTCCCCCAACAGCAGCAGGCTCTCTTTTTTGGGCAAAGCTTTCAGCCAAACTCCGGTCCGACTCACTGGATACTGGACACTGCCGTCTGAAGAATCTGGGGCTGAAACCATGCAGCGGCAGAGTGGGACGATAATGGACTTCCCGTATATATATCCATCATCCTCGGTGCATGCAGAACAAGGGCGGTGCGCAACTGTGCCGGACTGACTGAAGCGAGCTCAGCCGAGCCGAGTATAGCTATGCCAATCTAGAAGAAGATTTACGCATCGGCTCGGAGTGGGGACTGCCGGCTGGCGCCTCGACGGGAAGGCGAGTAAGATCGAACTTCCGATCCTCAGCTCAGCATCGGGTCCGCAGGCACACTGCACAAAACAAACTTTCTGCTACCTGCTACATTCGGTTTTCATCATCGTCATCTCCTCGGTTCACGCCTGCGGCCTTCGACATGGCTTTGACGTAAAGTGCCAACAAAGACACTCCCGCTTGATCGCCACATTCCTCGGAGAGCACCGACTCCTCGCCGGTACACTTGCACCTGATGCATCGTGAAAATGCTGATGAAGCACCGGTAGTGGCTGCGGCATGCAAAGCTCCGCCTCCTGTTCTTTGCTTCAGTGCTGGGCTCCCGGGCCGCGCTGCGAAGTGAAAGCCTTCCCGGGATCGAGCGCCTCCCACAGAGGCGTCCCGCCCCAAATTCTGCACAGCAAGATGAAACTTGTCGACCTGTTAATCAGAAGTTACAGAAGAAGGCAGCTTAATAATTAGAATAGGCTTTTGGGGCCCATTATAATATAATTATAATAAGGAGCTGCTGGGCACTTGGTGCTTGAAGGCGAGGCCGCCTTTCACCATGCTACAGCCGTGGGATCCGGCAGCATCGGTTCGAACGCCGACAGACCGAACGGCTCCACCTCTCGGGACAAAAGAATGCAGAAAGAAGACTCCAAACATCGGTACGGCGTGAATCACTGGTTAACAATGTCAAGGGGGGCACCCCGTAGCCCTACGCCTAGTCCTCCAGCTCTATCTCTCTCACTCCAGCCTGGCTGGGCGAAGCCAAGAAGTGCCAAGAAGGCACTGCTTCGGCACCTCAGCTTGGCATCACGTCCCACTGGCTCAGGGAATCTGGAAATAAGGACCGGACAGCGGGAGTCGCATGACGCAAAATCAAAATATGGTTTGCAAACTACGCTGTCTTGAAGCTTGCAAAATTCGCCGATGCGTGAGGGCTGTCAAAAAATCACGGCAGCACATTGTTGGCAGTCTGCAAGCTCCGTGCTAATAGTACTGCAGCGGGCTCTCAATTTTCCGGTCTCCGCCTGGCTGCAGCGGTGCACGCCGCCCAGCCGAAGCGCGCCGTGCTAACAAGCAGTACCTGTCCGGACGAGGTCTGCAGCGTCGACCGTGAGGAGCAGAGTTTGAGACTCTACTGTACGGCTCTTCGAACGATCCCACTTGGTCTTCGGCCTCCAGACTGCGGACATAGAGGTAGAGCAGCCCCGACAAGCAGAAGGAGCCCAGCAAGACAACCTCGGACTGCTGCTTTCAGTGCTGAAAACCTGCCGGGTCTGGTCCGTCTGAGGGCGTGGCCAGCGTGTCCGTCCTCGGTTCGGACAGAAAGACCGAAATAAACGTCATCGGAGTCGTACGCTCGCTCGGATGGCTCTGTCGCTTTCGCTGTAGGCGACAGGCAGGAAGAGATCCCAGGAGAACTCGGCGTGGTTCGGCCGAAGGAAGCCTCGGCTGAGCTTGGTCGCCAGGGGCCGTTTCAATCTTGGCTGAGAGCGGGACCGAAGACGAGCTCGAGTACCTGCGCTGTTGTGCTGTGCTCGGCTGTGACATGAAAAGCATAGAAGGGGGGGGGGGGCGGAGGTCAAGGGCCAGTTGACACCCCCAGAACGCACGAAGGGAACGCCTCACCATGAACTAACCTGAGGTCGGCGAGCTTTCTTGTGATTCAACCACAGTGGCTCCAGTTTGTTCCTCCTTCGAGCGGAGCTTGTGTTAAAAGCTTCGAGTCTATCACGATCTTCACCATGCCTGTTGTGGTCCAGGCACTTTGACTTGTACTGTCATGTTCTAGCGCTACTACCATGCGAATCTGTGCTGCCGCCTGTGCCGTCGGTTTTCTCCATTTTTGCGGATCTAGCTAATTACAATGCTCATCATCGGCATCATTGTGGTTGTTTTCGTTACATCAAGGCGTGTGGATGCAGGCTCACGCGAACGTGCACGGCACAGACTCCGAAGCAGAGGCGATCGAGCATGAACAGCCTGCCAGGCATGGGTTTGCGCCGACCTACACAGAGCCGCAGAGACTCAGACTCGGAGCAGCACCACTTGGGAGCAGGAGCACGCGGTGCGCGGCCTTCTCTTTCAGGCCAAGAGCAATCAGGTCCCGTGCGCCCAAGTCAAAACGAGATGCTTCTCAAAACAGATGCGAGTACGAGACTCTGAGACACCAAGGTCAAGGCAAGTGCATAGTGCTGCTAAGGAGAAGCCCAACCTCCCAATGCTACAAACGCCAGGCCGCCAGACCCAAACCCGGCTGCAAGCAGTATGCTGCCGTATGCTTCTGTGCACAAGGCATCTGAGAATCTGAGGTGTCAGCACGAGGTGGCTAAGCACGTACCACGGCAACCTCCCAACTTGATGGGGTGCGCCTTGCACCTGGCACCGAGTACGCTGTGAACTGGTTTGATTGTGCTTGGTAGGCAGGCTCATCCGTCCCCGTCAGCTCTGAGCGCAGCAATGTTGACTTGTGCACTTCTGGCCTCCATACCGACTGCGACTGCAATCCCGGCCACGGAGACTCGAACCTGACTCCATGAGTTGCGAGTTCCTGCGAGGCTCCGGCTCCGCTTCTCCGAGTCTCGAGCCGGGAAGCTGCGCCTTGCTGGGGAGGGAGACAACCTGTCTTCGACTCGGAGCTTTGCACCCCCCTTTCTCACTGCAGCAAAGCTGTTGCACGGGCCTGGCCCAAAGGACCACGGCCGCCACCACGACCTCATCGCATCTTCGACTCTCTGTGAAGCCTGGCTTTCAGGGCCCTCGCTGAGTCCGAGACGCTGTCGCCGGGCCTGGCAGCTCTCGCTCCAGGTGTGAAGGAAAAAGCGTCTCCAAGCATCTCCTGTTTTTGGGTCGCGGCAAATCCAAGTAGGGTGTGACCGGCGACGGCACCTCAGCCGTTGTTGATGCGGCTGAGAGCAGGAATTGTGCAGCTTTGCTCCTGGCGCAAGGGCCGTCAATGCGCCCTCGCTCGTCCAAGCACTGATCCAAGGACCTGCTGCCACGAAGTGGGTCAAGCCATCTCTTCTGTCTTGTCTGGCCTTGTCACCACGACGAGGCAAGCAAGGAGCCCTAGCCAGACCTTTCAAGAGGCATGGGCTGAAGCTTCACGACATCGATAGACTTTACCCGAGCTGTGCACGGCCGCCCGAAGCAAGCGAAGGCTGCTCCCGAGACCTCACCAGAGACACGCGATCCATGGACGTGCATTGCACATCTGGGCGCAGGAGTGCACTGGCAGATCCCCAATGCCCACGCCTGACAGCAGCAGGACAAGCGCTGCAGACCTCACCATGTCCTGGTTACGGATGGAGCGTGCGAGTCAGCAGATAGTGAGTCATCACAGCACAATGCTCGAAAGCCACAAAGAGCCTCACGAAGTGTCGGAGATCATTGCTTGCTATTGACAACAGCGGTCCGCTACTAAGGTTTAAACTGGTGGAAGCTTCATGCAAGCTTCCTGCTCTACGAAGGAACCAGCGAAGTCCAATGGCGGGAAGGCCTCTGCAACAATGAGTTTTTGGAAGACCGGCTCTGCCAACCAGTCAGCCCGCTGCCAGCAGCGCATCCTTGACTCCGAACAGTCTCGTGCACACGTGATGAGTACCTGGCAGGTTCACGAAATGCCCCGAAAGACTTGAGCCGAACGAACTTGCACACCGACCAGCTGAGGTGCGAACAGCGTCGGGCCTGACGGGGAGCAGGGACCACCCCACGCGGTGAAGTTGGCGTTTAGGGCAGAGCTCGGTGTAGCAATGCGCCGGCCTGGCCTCCTCGGCTGTCCAACTGCAGAGGCGGTCGTCGAGCCGCGGCTGGATACCCAGTCTCAGCATAGATCTTTCTCCCAAATCCCAAAAAAAGCAAAGTCTGCGTGGCGTCTCGTCGCTGCCAGGTCTCCGGCAGAAAAGGAGCGACAGGAATCCTAGCAGGCACAGGATGGCACAGGTCACCACGAGTCAGAGAATTTGGGGGGGACCCACACCTTCGAAGTCCGCCACAAAGCAGTGCTCGCGAGCTGAGGCCTGACGAAGCGGAGAACGGAAAGAAAGAAGCGAGAGAGAGAGAGAGAGAGAGAGAGAGAGAGGTTGACTTCGCTTGTGGCAGGCTGCGGCAGGCGCAGGCGCTCACAGCTCTGTGCAAGAGCACGTGTGCATATGGCCCTCGGGCCAATCTCCCGACAGCTTGAAGCAATTTGCAGACCTGCTGGTGCGAGCCGTAGCCACTTCCTCCCAAGCCTGCGCGGGGCTCTGAAGAGCAGAGGGGCAGAGCGAGCTGTCTTGAAGTAAACTTTGGGCAGTTGCAAGCCCGAGATACTCGCAGCCAGCAGTACTCAGTAAGTGCGTCCATATCTGGCATGACTTGTATAACTGGGCTCTGAGGCAGAGGTTCCAGCCTTCGGCCAAGAGTCTGCAGCTTCCAACTATCCCACCTGGGAGACGAAGCCAAAAGGCGAACTGAAACTCCAACTCTTTCGACTACAGCCTGAGGGCCCTGCCCCCCGCGAAGAAGCAGCGCGGCCTCCAAAGCAGGCGTGAAGGGCATAAGACTCGTAGGTCGGAAGAGAACGGAGGCTCGTGCTGACAGTCCAGCAAAGACGGGGTCATGGAGCATTCCGCAGGCCCATGTGCAGAAGTTCGCGAGGCCTTGGAAACCGAGCAAGTCAAGCAGGGAGTAGAGGGCGAGGTGAAAGGTGAAAACCGCCCAGTAAGGGCCGCACCCGGAGGCAGGCCCGATGAATAGATAGGGAAACTTGCCAGATGAAACACCTCGACATTCAACAAGGCCACATTTCAGCCTGCGGTGCAGCGATGTCGCAGCGACACCAGACTTGCGGACGAAGCAGCCACCAGGCAAAGCGTCGCCAGCAGACGCAGCGCTGCGGGCTGCCACGAGACCGTGGGCTCCGAGGCCTCTTCCCCGCCCAAAAATGATTGTAGCGACTGCGAACTGTTGGGCGACTGTGGGGGCCTGGACGCCTCCTATGGTGCAGTCAAGAAGACCTCCATGGCAAGTGATATCAGGAAGCAGGAAGGGCGACTGTGTGTGCCCGTCCGTACCTAGGCCACAAAGCGACCCTGCCAGCATGGGCCTGACCGCAACAACTGGCCGCATTCGCATCTGCCATCATTTTGTTGCAGTCTGTCATGTTCTGGGGCCCCCCGACGGAAGCAATGCAAGCCAGGCCTGCGGAAAGCCGAAAGGCTTGCCCACGACGCCAAGAAGCAGTTTGCTGACTTGCTTGCGGTGGAGAAGCTCCAGCCTGCGACGGTGGGGACTGTACATCTTGGGTCCACCTTGGCAGATACTTCCCCTCTCGGCAGCTCACAAGACGCTGTCTACGAAATGAAATGTTCATGCGGCTTTCTGAAGTCCGCTCCACCGGACTGCCACTGCACGCAGCATCCCGTCGCCGAGGCTAGCGCTCGCTCAGCTCAAGGCGACACCTTACGCCACCCTACGCTCTTCGAGGATCTGCTGAGAGGATCTGCGACACGCAGGGTACAGAAAAGACACCTCTCCTGAGGCGAGCGCCAGTCCGAGCCACTGGAAGAGGCGAAGAGTCTCCGCAGGAAGGGCTTTGCAATCTGAGCGTCAACCTCGCTCCGACGTTCGCCTTTGTCAGCATTTCCAGGAGTCAACCTCTGTGCTGCGTCGCCTCTGGCACTGAAGCCCCGAGCTCGAGCAACTTCGCGGAAGGCAGAAGCCGAAGACCTGCTTGGCGCGTCACGGGAAGAAGAAGCACCTGCCTGCCGCGGGCGCAGCCACGAAGACTTCTGGGTTGCTTGCGAATGTCTTTGGTGGCGCCACATGGTGGAAGGAGAGCTCGCCAAACCAGAAACCTGAACAGATGCTTTATCGGTAGACCTCCAGCATCTCTGCTTAGTTTAAGACCCCAAACATCTCGACGAAATGCTACCAGGTGTTCAGAGCATCGCGTGCTGCGTTCAGGGCTTAGACATAGGACAATCCTTGAGGCCGGAAGCTGAGACCCACACGATGCCCCAACGACCAGCAGAGCCTACAATTGCGGGAAAGACCATCAAGGGCCGCGAGAGCAGAACGGTTATGTGAACCTAAACCTGTGGCTTATGCTGCGTATGGCTTGTCTACGTCAGGAAGCTAAGGCACTGGGAAAAGAACAGTACCTTAGATCAGACCTTCAGCCGCCAATCTTGAAACGACGCAGGGCCCCCTGGGAGACTTCAGTCATTGACCTGCCGGACATGGCTCTTGAGTTGGAGGGATCTCGAGGCTCTTCCGGGGGCCGTGTACTCGGCCCAGCTACTTGAAGTCTGGCCGGCCTGGGTTTACCCCGGTCCGGTGCCGCCACCGAAGGCCTGGCACGAATATGGCACTTGACATTGAAGCTCAAGCTCGAGTTCAAACACGACATGAGCGCGTTAGGGTTAAGGCGGGCTTCGTGCTTCTGGCGGCAAAGCCCACATGCTCTGTACAGGAAGATCAGCTGTTAGCCGCTGCTCTCCCGCATGAAACCAGGTCCAGGCCGCAAGGACGCAGTCTGACTGGAAAGCTCTTGGAATATCGGATCTGTCCAGAACCTGGCATGGAAGGAGCTGTAACCTGCTGCATGGGCAGTGTGCCACAAAGAGGCGCAAAGGCGACTGCTCGTGGCAGGCTTCCTCTGCCTCCCAAGAGCAGAGCTTGAACAGAGAAGACCCAAAACAAAGAGCCCAAAAGACGTGAAACGGTCTACCACTATAGGGCGGCTCAGGGCGGCCTTCGGTCGAAACAGAGGTCCGGCCTCCTCGCGAACTTCCTCTTGGAGCTTCGCTTCCGGCCCAACAGCCGGGCCTAGACATGCCAGTGGCAACGGGCTGCGATGGGGTGGAAGGGGTGAGGAAAGCTCCTCCGACAGGTGTCGGCTCTGGAACGCGAGAGTTGAAACAGGAGCCGCAGTAACATCGCTTTGCCTAAAGGTCTGCAATGAAGTCGGGTGCCGAGCCCAGGGTCTCAACTCCGGGTCCAGGCCCGTGTGTCCGTGTGCAAGTGTTGCGTCTGCCGGGCGCTCCAGACGACACCTGGCCTGCAGTCAGGCCCGCTGCGGGAGAGCTGGCAGGATCCTTAGCAGGAAGTCTTGATGAGTAGAGCGGCGACGGATGGAGAGAAAGTGCGAAACTGTGGGGAAGGCATGCTGGGCCAAGAAAGAGGCTGGGAACGCTGGCAAGGTGGCGATGAAATTAAGGGAAGGATCTACAGCAAATTGGCGCTACATTTGCCACTAGTACTAGTACTGAGTTGCAGGCAAGTCTCTTACCGTCACCGGGCGCCAGCGCCATGTCCTGCAAAACAGCACCGACAGATCCCGAGCACAAAGTCGAGTCCGGCGTGCTAAGGTCCTCGTCGTTTCCAACCACAGCCTGAAGCAATACACGCTAGCTGGCAAACTCTAGACAATCCAAGATGCTCGGGGTGCGACAGCATCTATCCACAGCAACGCCCCGAAGGGCACCCGCTCCCCATCGGCCAGACTCCAGATGCTGTATGCCTGGCAGCCAAGACCCATCATGCCGGCTGTGCGGGCATGGGGTCATCCGACCTTTGCACCCGGCTCTTCAGGAGTGCGAAGTTGGAGAGCTATTGGCACGGTGCTGCCCACAGGCACCTTCTCAGCTCAAAGCAGCCCTCGTCACAGGCACTGTACAGCATCCTACCTCCTGCAGTCGGAGACCAGCAGGGCCTCCCATGGTGTGTCCGTCGCGCAACGACAGCACCTGGGCTGCACGTGCACTGCTATGCTGCTATGCCCGAACGCCAGAAGCACAGAACGCGCTGTAGTGATCTTCAGCGTTCGCCAAGTGACGGTTCCGGGTGGCCAGGGTCTGCTCCCAGTGTTAGCTGCCAGTCACAAGAACATCTCAAAAATCCTAACAATGCAGTAGTTTCAGTGCCAGCTCGAGAATCTTGCAGCTGCAGGCTGTCTACCGGTGCGTATTGCTGGGCACGACGACATCGGCTTTGCCCACTTCTGGCCTATGACGACGTGAACCTCGAAGGCTTCTCCTGGCCTTCGCTGAACATACCTGGGAAAATCTGGCACATCCAAGTAGGGAAGCGACGGGAAACCTGTAGGCTGCTGAGCGTTGGGCTCTGTCTCCGCTGGCTCCTCGCGAGACCCAGGCACATGGCCACTCGCGAAGACTCCACACAAAAGTCTGCTCTTGCTGAGGCTGTGACTCCGCAGGACAGAACTGGTGGACCGCCCGCGATGCTGGCCGGACGAACAAACCAGGGTTTCTTGTGCCTTCCAGACTTCAAAAACATACGCTCCGATCTTCGCGACGGCCACACTCTGCCGAGACGCTGCCGGCAAGCACTGGGATCCAGCCTGTGCATGGGGATTGGCTTCTCGGTGCCCTGCTGACTCTCAGTGCCCAGGGGCCCGGCAGGCCATGGTCTGTCCCGTCGATCCACACGGCAGCTGAGGCAGGAAGAGAGTGACATGAAGCAGAAGTTACAAGCAGCAAGCGGCCATTGGCAGAATTTCCGTTGGTGATCGGCCTGTGTCCAAACCACTGCGCTCTTGCCGCCAGTCCATCCTCACCAGCTTTTCTGTCCAAGTCCAAGGCCATAGAACTTGACAGAACTACGAGTAGGGGCAGGACCAGGCTCGCAACTCTGATGGAACGGAAGGTGTTCGCAGCGAGCCATACGGGCCTTGAGTACACAACAGTCGCCACGTGCCAGGAGATCCAACAGCGTTCTCTTCCCGCCTAGCAAAGAGCCACCACGGACGAACTTGGCCATGAAGATCTTCGGAGAATCGGCACTCTCTGTGGTGCAGGACCTTGAATTCCACCAAGCATACTCAGCCACGGAGGCCGCTGAATGCCAGCACCAACTACCGGTGACACAATCCTTCGGGAGCAGCGTTCTGAGTGGGCGCTACAGGCCACGTCTCAGATCCGAGCGCATGGATTGAGCGCATGTTAACCTGCACTGAGAAGCGGTCTCCCCGTCTGCTTACCGGCTTCTGCACGCCCCGACACTTCCGAGCGAGGAGAGCCTTGCTGTCACCCAGCAGGTGGTAGTAGAGAAGGGCATCCCCCTGGCCTCAAAGCATCCAGGCACGGGGAAAACCTCTGAGGAACCTCTGCCCCTTGAGTTTTCCGGCGGAGCCGCAAGGGAGCCTTGCCAGGGGCGGTAGCTGACCGTGCATGAACACACCGCTTCATCGCGGCCTTGCGGCACACCTCCGCGAAAGCTTCGTCCAAAAAGCCTCTCACTTCCAATCTGCAGTCCACAGCGTAGGGCGTAGGAAAACCGAATCCTGAGACAGCAACCCAAGGACTTGAAATTTCGTCCGGTCCCACTGCCACGCCACGGCAGCTCGTTTCCCTGCGAAAAACGGGTGCCAGATGCGTGGTTCACACAAAGCAGTTCGGTGCTGAATGTCATCACATGATCTCACTTCAGTCGTCCCCGGTCCGTCTGCGCAAAAGCAATTAAGAAAGACGTCATCCACAAGAGCCCAACAGCCAGTTCAACAGAGAAGGCTGCCTCATGCGACAGCTTCTCAATGAGAGTCTCATCCTGTCCGCGGGACCATCACGTACGCAAGCATCTCGAAAGACATGGCAGGACAAGTTCAGGTCCTCGGCAAGCGCATGCTTTGCAGGCCTCAGCCAGCACGGCCATTCCGACTGGGCAGGTTCGGCGAGTGATCTGGACCGGGCCATTTTGCCAAAGGGAAAGCCACGCCCACAGGGTCGTCCCGCAACCTGACTAGCACCTGTCATGCGTCGCACCCAACATGCCAGACTCTTTCCGCCCACGCAGCATTCTGGGGGTCCGCTCCGTTGCGACGCGCACCGGGAACTGGAAGTGGTGGTACGTATCCATGTGAAGATCTTGCCCTGCATTTCAAGCAGGACACATTGAGTCTCGAGGGTCTCGGCAGCCCCTCTGCTTTCGCGCTCCCCGACCTCGACGGGACTTGTCCCAGTTGAAGAGCCAGGCTTCCTCAACCTGGTCCTCGCACTTGCGACATGCAACAGGTTGTAGTAGTACGCTTGACGAATACAAATGCCAGCATCAAGATGAGAGTGGGCGGGATGAGAGCAATACGGCATGCGGGTCGCTCGTCGGAGACTGCTTAGATACGGCGTGGCTTAGATGGTATCCAGAGCCAAGAACATTGGGAGCAGTAGTGCAAACTGGAAGCCTTGCCTGCGACTAGTTAAGGCGACAAATCATGTATGTGGAAGTGTTTCTGGATTGGCTTGCTGCCACCGGAGGTGGTCGTTAGCAAATCAACAGCTCCAGCCAAAGTGCCATCAGCAGCATGCCCGTGTTCGGACTGTCCGTGCTGTCTGGATTGCAGGCGAACTCGAACCAGGAAAGTAAATGCAACACTGGAAACCACGATTATCTCCGAGTGCTGCTGAAAGTACTGGAAACTTACTGAAAATGAGTCCTCGTCTCCCATGAGTCTACGGGCACTCACTCGATGCGCATGGGGGGCCGTGTATTTTTAAGACATACGAGTATGTGGTGAATCATGCCAGTAGCCTCCGCGGCATGCAGGCCTGTTGTACATCTGAACTACGCGAAAACTGTCGCGCCTCCAGGACACCAACCGTCGAAGCAATCCGCTCGTGGACATTTACCATGGCCTGGGCCCGATGCGATGCAAGTCACCACGTGTCAAGGAAGGAGTCTCGCGGCTTCTCCCTTCGCGCCTGGCTTGCGAAGACACGTCGATCCGATTGGAAGTCGCAGCGGTCACCTTAGAAGCACCGCCGCTCTGTGCGTGGTCTGGCGCAGAACTGACTCGAACTGGAGTTGTCTACAGGGAACTCCATCTATGCGTTGCCCGAGGGCACTGCCAGCCGCTGGAGTGGACTCGCAGAACGACGACGGGAATCGCCGCATCTCGGGTCGGAAATATTTACACCCAAGCCCGGATCTATCCGCGCACGCTTTCCATTCCTACTATATCAGCAGCAACTTCTTGAATTTCGGACGGTCTTGGGAGTTCGCGGTGGTGGTAGTCCTGGGACCGCAGACGCCTCTGAGGGCTGCACGCAACGCTGAAATGCTGGCGAGCTGGTGTCGTTGACATGACCTGAACGGGTCGCATATGGTCGCATCTGACTGGTCTCGGACGCATGTTGAGCTAGAGGTCGTCGTCATGCTTGGCACAAGGCGCACGAATTCCGGGATCAATTCCACTTCCTGAAGCTGGAGCAGCTTGCAGCAGGTACTTTACTGGGCTCGGCTGAGGGCAAACACATAATCTCGCAGAAGCCTCTCCGCCTCTCCGCTGGAGACGAAACCGCGCCTCCCACAGCAGATGCGTTCAGTCTTCAAAGCATCAGCCCGAACAGGCCGGCAGTACAGGAGAAAGATCGGCGGATCAGTGGACAGAAGGTCCAGTCCCCCGGACCTTGCACCCGTGACGAGGCATGATGCCCATGACCTACTGCGACTCGAATTTGACAGAATTTGACACAACACCGCACGGAGCTTTGGATACCCGGCCACGTCGGGAAGGGAAGGCTGGCATTCTCTGGGCCGAAAAGCCTCGCAGATTCAAAAGTCAGGTCGAGAAGGCACTGTCCGCTCAGCAAGGCACGGGCTGGATGCTTTCTGCAGCGACAAGAAGTGTGGCGACGAAAATCCTGCTCAAGGTCATGATGAAGATCCAGCACCCTGCTTCCGAAGCGTAACAAACCTCAGACAAGCACGAGACCATCCACAAATCCCATAGTCACTATTGTAGAAACCTGATGCCTTTTCTACGCACAGGACACACCTCACTGGGCACCTCCACCCCAGAACCCCCATCGGAGAGATCGACCAAGCTCACCATGCCGCCACAGCGACCATCGGCTTGCACAATGATGCGATGTTGATCTTGAAAACTTTCTTATGAAGGAAACGGCTACACGTGTACTGGTGTGGGTGAGAAGGGATCAAGAATATCCACAGTCGGTGCGTGGAAACACAAACTGAGTCAAGAATGTACATGAACTCCTGGGGCTGACAGGAATCCCGCGGGATATGATTGAGGATGCTGACTTCGTCCTTCAGGAACGGAGAGCCGGAAAGCCGATCATGCGAGGAGCAAGCTTTATCCAACCATCCACACTTTGAATCTCTCGTTGGCGATTTTAAAACTGATGTTGGCAACCCTTCCTTTCGCAGCGTTTTCCACATCTCTTGAATTCGGGTATTGCACGCTGTCATCGGGTCATCGAGGCGCATTGGCACTTGCTTCAATCCATAAAGCGTCGCTGTTTTGCCGAGCTGCGATGGCAATCTTGCCATTGGAAAAGTCTTTTCAGGAGGAAGTTGGCCACTTCGTTGACGGATTCCAAAATCTGTTGCCCCAGTTCTTGGTGTGCTCGACTTGTTCATCCTCATCTTGCTGGCCGTGTCCCCGAGCATCCTTCGAAAAGGGACTGAAGGGCGCGCTTTGGGAGATCCAAGAGCTGCACCAGCTGGTCTGAGGGGTCTCATGTTCTTGCGAAGAGCTCTGGCTCCAGAAACCACACGCGTCGTCCTGGCCCTGGCCCTTCTAAGTCCAAGCTTGGTCTTCCTGGGAAACCTTCTGGGCGGCACTCGCCAACTCTGCCACTCATCGCCGGCCGGTGAAAACCTGGCCACCTCCATTGGGCAAAGTCGTGGTTTGCGGCTGTACTTTCCTGCATCTGACACTTTACCGGCTTTACTTCTTCTTTGCGTTCCTTGGACTCCTCCGCCTTGTCAGCGTTCGCTACTCGAAAAGATCTGCAAAAGCAGCTTCGCCATGTCGGAAGGACCAAGCTCTGCGGCCTCACTGTCAGATTCGGAAAACTCTGGCGATGTTTGGTTCGTGTGTCTTGACTGTAGTGTGCAAGGAAGCAAGAAGCTCTTTGAGCTTGTCAACTTCCTTCTCCGCGTCTTGTACTTTCATCGTTGGTGTTTTGAGGTGGTCTTGCAGCTCGGTGATCAAACAACCACGTTGTTCTTGATCTCGCAACATCGAAACCATCTCATCCCTCAAGTTGCGCATCATGCCTGCGATGCGCTCTGCCAACATTGTCCACACAGTGCGGCCGCAGCGGCACCTTTAGCAAAGCTGTGCGCCCAAAGTGCCTCGAGACATGGTAACTGCAAGATGCTAGCATTCTCAAGGCTACTGGTTGTCTGCTACTCGGCAATGCCCAATCAAGTGTCTTATGGATTTCGAGACATCGCCTGCAACCGAGACCATTCCCCCGCCCCCGAAGCACTGGGAACCACGAAACGACCACGGGTTTTCAAGTTTCTCCTGGAAAAGCTTTGAGAGTACGGAACCACGTCAAAGCTCACATTGGGAGATCATCTCCAGGCTGAGCGAGGTGTGTCTACATGAGACCTGCTCTCCGCCATGGCTTGTTGGTTGAAAGGATGCTGGGACATGTGCAGATGCCAAGCCATGACGGTGGTGCTCACGGTGGCCTCTTGGAGGCGCAAGCACGAGATGCCAGAAAGCAGAGGGCCGCTTGCTTAGGGGCCTTGCATCGACCTGCAAGTTGCTGCGAGGGTCAAGACACAAACAGGCAGAGACGGGACTCAAACACATGGGGAGCGGAGCAGCGCAAGAGGGACAGGGACGACAAGATGACAGGGGAAGAGAACGGAAGTTTTCTGTACAGTGATACCGAGGCATGACCGGTGCACGCCCCGAAAAAGGAGGCACAGACGTGTGGCAGCGACTCTTGGAGTGGCAGCGCCTCTTGCATCGCACAGATCACTAGCGACCTGTTTTGCAATTCGATATAGAAATACATCTCGCTATGTTTTTCATGGGAAACCGTCGTCTGCAACCGTTGTTGGCTGGGCGACTTAAAAGCACCATCATGCAAGAGACAAGTTTTGCATGATCTCCAATGATGGTTCCAGAGAAGGGGCCGAACGAAGGCTTGAAATCCTCATTCTGCGTCCCTTCCAAGCGTTCACACACACTCTTTCTCTTAAGTCGTTCACAAGCCATCCTGAAGCTCAGAGGGTCAAAGACGGGGCCGCGTCCTCCGCCGAGGCCCCGCCGGCTTTGGCGGAGCGTTCCGCCTGGGCCTCGGCAGCCTTGGCTTCCTCGGCCTCCTCCCGCTCCGCCTCGTCGTCGCCCGCTTCGATCTCCAGCTCCTCAGGAATCTGAGGGTTTAGGGTTTAGGGTTTAGGGTCTGGAATCTAGAACATTCTGGAACAAAATCCTCTTCAAGTTTCTCGTAATTTAGAGCAGACGGCATCTCGGAGCCGCGGCCTTTCTATGCTACCCTTCAGCCACACTGAAGCAGGGGCTCCTCCTTCTCCAAGCCAACGATTGCAGAGGATTCGCGCGACAGCATCACCTTGCCCCAGCGGAGCCAGGAATAGAGCCGCGTGACCAGCCATTGGCCAAGCAGCGCCGCGGCAGAGATTCCCAAGCCAATTGCAAACCAAACAATGACAACAATACCATGCGGTTGCGTGTGTAGGTCGGGGTTTGCAGAAACCAAGCTCAGTCCTGGCAGGTGCACACCGGTGCACTATTGGGGCAGAGCACTTCCGCTTCTAAGACAAACCTCTTCAAGATGCTAGAGGTCATTGGGACGACGTAAATTCATATTCCGGACAAGGCCCATATGCCTTATGCGACCTATAACACAGAACCAATGTGGAAGGCCGAGCCTGTATGCCACAGTGCTGCAACGGGTAGGATCATGAGGCCAAACAGATTCTGGCTAGCATGGGCCAGCCGGTTGTCAGTTGGAAAGCCGCGACGTCTTACCATCAGAAGCTTTGGCAGCCGGGAGTGCAGGTCGAGTTGGCGAGCCAGCATCTGGAAGATCACTCCAATGGGATTGATGGGAGCAAACCTTGCGCCAATCCCATGTTCAGCGGTTCTGTGGCTGCGGGTCTATCTTCCGGGAACAAAGGGACCGGAGGCCTCAACCCCACTTAACGCCTGTGTTCCTGATGCTGTTTCTGCATCTTCTGGCAGCACCTATGAGTCTCTTAGACTCTAAGCTCACAGCAATGGAATTTCTCACCATAAGTCCGACGCGTTGACATGCATCTCTATTTTCTTCTGCTTCCGGTCTGTCGGGCTTGGAAGAGCCGCTGCAGATATGCGTCCATGTTGTCTTTCTTTCTCCCGCTCCTTCTCCCTCACTCTCGCTCCCATGTGTGCGAAGAAGGAAGCAGAAACCTCTGTTCTGATTCAAGCCTGGCACAAGACCATAACCAAGAAATTGAGCTTCAAAAGTTTTAGCTCGTCCAGAGGATCCATTGGGCGCAGGAGTCGCTGGTCCAAGGGGCCAAAGAGCCCACCAATTACCGTGGCACCCTGGGGATGGTCTTTATCAGTCAAGTAGATCATCTCTTTTGCCTCTTTCGTATCCTTGCCGCCATCCTCGCCCTCCTCCAGTTCCTGCGGACAGCGGAAAAGCACAAACCCGAGACCTTTTCGCCTGTCTGGAGTCTCTTTCGACATCAGCCTCCACGTTTTCCTGGATGATTTTCGGAGCTTTGAAGGGGAATCCCCTCCAAATATACGGGAGGCCAAGCACTGCTCCATCCAGCAAGAAAATGAAGGCGACGAGCCTCCCGAGTCCTTGTCATGATTGCAAGCCTTGAACTTTCGAGCTCATGCTAGCAGCTAATACCGGAAGCTGCCCACGGCTCATGAGCATGCATGTCCTCGTAGGAATCCACAGCAGCATGCACAGGGGCTGCATCCTCGCCGGGGCTGATCTTTATCGGCATCATCATCCAAATCACGATCCAGCTCGCAGTGCACGTGAATCAAGTAGGCCTCATCCGCGCTTGGAGCGAGAGAGCAGCAAGAAACAAGCAACGCGACCTACCTTGGAAGCTTCTCGGGCCCAGACCAAGAGTGGCACTATGAACAACATGAGAATTTCCACGAAAGGGGCGACCACGAAGAGACCACCAAGCCACGCCTCGAATACCTCGCGTCTCCTTAGCCGCTTCTGCATGACGACGACAACGACACGTTGGTGATGAAGGAGGAGGATGAAAGTGATGATGGTGATGATGAAGATGATGATGATGATGATGATGACGATGATGAAGGTGACGATGGTGATGATGGTGATGATGGTGATGATGGTGATGATGGTGATGGACTTGATGACGATTACGAGGATGATGCGCTGCTGCTGGTGATATCTGGTGATAATGATGAGTCTAAAGACGAGAGGATGACGTGGGTGCGGCTGATGCTGACGGTTACGCGGACGAGGATAGCAATGAGAGTGAGGACGATGACGAGGATAGTGACGACGACCACGGTGACGATGATGGATGATGGGTGGACTGGACACATCATGGAAGATGGATCACATTATTTGATGGCTGATGGGAGATGGAGGCTGAAAAGTACACAATGGCTATGGATTGTGAAGGTTGTGCATGATGACTGATGGAAGATGGCAGATGTACGGATGCGACGACTAAGGGAATGCCGACAGCAGCAACAGCAGCGGCAGTAGAAACAACAACAGCAAGCACCGACACTGTAATCTACTGTCTTCACTAAAACTCTTGTATGACTGCATCGAGTGACTGTGAGTATGGTAGTACAGTGTACCTATTGACATTGAATTGAACATCCATCCAAGGCTCTGTTTGAAGCCGAGCTTGGACCTTGCACAGAAAAGCGTTCCTGAGCAACAAGACTGGTCGTCCGCATCGCAGCCGAGCACGGCTCGGCAGGCCTCCGCAGTCGCGGAGCAACGAGAAAAGCCACGAAACCTACACTTCTGCGAACGAGTATGTAGATACATGCAACGCAGTAGTTTTTTATATAATGTATAATAAGTTGTAACATAAAAGAGCATGCATCTTGTAGTATCACGACGCATAACACGGCCTCATGTAGAATGGCAGCACAACACAACATAACTAAAAAATGTGCTAAAATCAGACACAACAGAACGTAACGTAAAAGAATGCCCCGCAATGTAATGCAATATACTAACTGTATGATCAGTATGATGTAGTGCTATATAAAATCATCTAACACAAGAAGACATCCCATAATAGAAAACAACATGGTGGAAAATAATAAAACAATGATCCTAGGTAGTGTAACATATATACACGCACTACATTCATGCATAGTTTGCCAAACATGTCTGTGCTTGTGCACGCGCTCGCCTGAGTGCCTGGCTGTGTGTGTGTGTGCGATTGTTTGTTTGGGGTCCGCGCGAGTCTAAGCTAGGGATCATCCTTGAAAAGTGCTGGATGTGCAGCAGAAAGATCAGCAACACAGTTGTAAGGCTTGTGCCAGCGGATGTGAAGTTAAGTTTCCAGTGTGGGTGGCAGCAGAGTTATGGGAAAACTGCTAGACCAAGACGCCTAACGCAACGCATCATGCTTGCCGTGCTTGGATTCGGTCTTAGAGGAAGCATTTGGTCAGCTTCCGCTTTGCAGCTTGAAGGTCAGGTCATGGCACAAACGTCGGCAACATGAGTGCCACGGACGGACAAGGTAAAACCGATGCCTTCACTACTCTGTAAGCGTGTGCTTTGCACATGTACATGTATAATCCTGCATACATACATTTATGTGCCCCCCCCCTTATCTAAGTGTCTATCTATCTACCTATCTACTTGATGTCTACCTGTCTACATGCCTGCATATCCGCTTGTGCGGGTGCTTCCAGCGGTGAATAGCAGATGAGCGGCCTGGAAGTCCCAAAAGATGTCGCAACCGGAGGAATCCCACCACTCTGTTGGCGTTGTCGTCTCCCACTCGGGGAGGAAGGCGAAGGCAAGATAAGAAAACATTCCAATCGTGGCCACAATGTCGATGGTAATGGCTGTGAAGTGCTCCACAAACTGTCGCAAGATCATGCTGCGGAAGTTCCACGTCCTGCCAAGCTGTTGTTGCAGGCGAAGAAGTGTCTTGCAAGCGATGGGAACATCAATCTATAGTTATAGTCGAGGCACTTGGCAATGCGATAAGCAAATGCTTTGCAAAGCTCGCCGGTAGCCACGTTGAGCGTCAATGCCAGCAATATGTCGCACGCGATCATGGACAGTACGCCGGAAAATCCATGCTTTATTGCCGGATCGTGGCATTCAAGGTGGTAGCAGTCGCCCCATTCATAAATCCTTGGTCGACCGGGTCAAAGTTCTTGACTCTCAGCATCACGTGGTGCTGAAGCAACAATCACGGAAGCCCGCATCTCACTGCGCACCGCAAAACCTTCAAGCACGCCCCATACTGTAACTTCGAGTCTCCGGAGCCCCAGCGGCCCTCTACTCACCAGTCACAATCGTAACCAGGCTGCCGAATCAGAAGCCCACACCGAAGATACAAAGCGGAAGGTGCGACATTCAGAGAAGAACCTATCTTGCAGCCATGAGGCAGTATGAATTTCAACTCCATGGTAAATAGAAGGAAGAGCCCGGCAAGCACCAGGCAGATGAGGCATCCCAGGCCTCAGATTTGTTGGCAACTCCCTGTGTTTGTGAAAGCTTTGGGCATGTGTGGGGCCAGGCCTGAAAGGAGCAAGCACCATGCCACCCAAAGCCTGTGGTGAACCATCTTCTTGTGGTCCGGGTTTTGGGTCCTTGGGTATCGAAGCTCGCGAGCCCTTACGTCTGAAGAGCACGCCGCGAAACTGCAGCCCTGCCGAGGCTCAGATTTACCATGGCAGCGAATTCACTGCCGGCACCGGTCTGGGACATGATCCTCCGCAGGATCTGCCGCTTCCTCAGAGCACGTTGAAGCTTAGAGGTCTGGGGCGATCAACTCATGCACATAAGTGTGATGACTAATCACTATTGTAATCACTTCAGCTGCGAGGGCGTCTTTGACAATCATAGCATCAACTACGAGTAGCCTGCTTTCAACCTCCAGTTTCTTTCCTCTGAGGACTCAGGGAAGATTTTGACCCGCAGAATCACGGCTTGGACTATCACGTTGGCACACCCTTGCCTTCGACGCAATCGAAGCCCAGCAAGAATCTTCTTCGCTTGCAGCCGAGCTGCGTGATTGTCACCTTGTTGAAGTCTGCGGCCCAGGTTTTGCTTTCTCCGGCCTCATAGGACTGGACGAAGGAAGAACGATGTCGGGATCGGCCAATCATGAAAATCGCCCAGAGGATGACCACTGCCTCATGTCACAGGGTGTCACACTCTCAAAACTGCCAAACTTCAGGCTGAATTACGCTTGGTTCATGTAGTGACGGGCTCTGAATTGAGAAAGCTTCGCTGTGGCAGGCAATGCGAATGGTGCAACTCGGACCGGAAGTCTTTTGGCCCTGCCTGGAGCGCGTAGAACTCCCAGCTGGCTTCGTTGAGTCGATCTTCTTCGACGAAAATAGCGAAAGGTACGGTCAAAACAAGCAGTGGCCAAATGCCTTGCGTGTACTGATTCATCCATGCCAGAACATAGGTGGTCGATGGAGCATACTGCTCCTTGACATGCCGCTGCTGCTCCAGCGAACAGACGGGCGTGAGGATGCGCATATTGCGAAGTAGCCGCCAGAAGCAACTGAGTGGCCGAGAACATGACAGGTTAGGCGATCTGAGTCAGTACTCGGGTTACTTACTCAACAGTTTCGTTTTGGCCTCGGATTCAAGACAGAGTCTGCCTAGTAGGAGCAGTTGCAAGCCTCAGATATCGGTGAGTTCTGCATCATGTTCCGAAAGCTACTGCCACGAAGGCGCTTCTCCGAATCGCCCATTACCTGCAAACCGCTCGCAAAAGCGGCCAGAAAGCTACATGCGGCTGTAAACTGGCAGAACTCGACAACTCGCACAGCCGCACCGGCCTCGCAAACCAGAAGGGCCGCAGCGACATCCTGGAGATCGGATGATCGGGGCTGAGTGCAGCGGAGTTGCTCCCTGAAAGAGAGGTGGGGCTCTCTGCTAACTGGCAGCTTCAGGTGGTAGCGTTCTGCAATGTTTGGCTTTTTCACATCGGACGTCGCAAGTTGCGGAAACTGCGTCAGGCCATGTCTTCCCCTCTGTTTTCTGATCTCCTGTTTCCTTTTGTGCGACTAAGGCCACAGGCAATCGCGTGCGATGATTCCATCAGGGTCTAGTGGCACGTGTAGAAGATCCGCAGAGTGTGTATGTATGCATGCATGCATGTATGTATGTATGCATGTGTGTATGGTTTGGTAAGGTAAGGTGAGGTGAGGTAAGGCAAAATAAACTCAGGTCAAGTCAGTTCAGGTCAGGTGAGGTGAGGTAAGGTAACATAAAGTAAGGTAATGCCATGCAATGTCATGTAATTTAAATGTGATGTAGTGTAATGTAATGTCATGCAACTTGAATGTGATTCAATGTAATGCAATGCAATGTGATGTAATGTATGTCTGTATACGCATGTATGTATGTATATATATATATATCTACAAATATATTTGCGGGTGTGTAGGTGCATGTATGTATGTATGTATGTATGTATGTATGTATGTATGTATGTATGTATGTATGTATCTATGTACGTATGTATGCATGTATGCATGCATGCATGTGTGCATGTATGCATGTATGCATGTATGCATGTATGCATGTATGCATGTGAGCATGTATGTATGCATGCATGCATGCATGTATGCATGTATGCATGTA